TTTTTCCTCTAAAGCTAACAAAAGTCAGGCATATTTATTTTGTAAAATGGGGCATGGTATTGTATAAACAGAAATATGCCATCTATATTTAAATTACATAAAAACCAAAAGACTTAAAATGTTATCTCTCCACATTTTGCAGACTTATATTTTATACTCAATAAATAAATAAAACATTTTCAAATGTAGGGTCTCTTGACAATCTAAGAGGTCTCCTAGGCTCTGCTACAATGGTACACTCATTGCAGAGGTTTGTGAAAGAATACTGCTTTGCAGAATTATCAAGATTGTGGAAAAGAACTCAGGCTAGAAATGACAATTATCAGATAAAATTTTTATTTTGTTTTGTTTTTTATAGACCTGTGTTTAGTTATCTTCAGAAATGTAATCCAAAGATCATAGATAATGAATCTTCTATAGTTTTACAAAGCTCATTTTGTTGAATAGTCTCTAATAAAATAATTAAGTCTCTTGCAAAGGCAGACCATGGTAAGCTTCATATAAAACAAGTTGTAACTGTTACAGGGCTGCTCAGGGCAAAATTACATTCACTGCAGTTTTAAGAGTTCAAGTGCACGTCACCAATATCTGTGGCTACTATGGTAAAGCCAGCATGACTAACTATAAATATGCTGCAAATTAATACAACAATGCTTTTTCAATTATCCATACTAAACTTTAATTTTAGAGTTCCTTTTAACAAGGCTCTAGTACTTTTTTTAAAAATTCTGTCTTCTTCCTCTGGCTCTCAGAGACCAGCTCACTGCATCAGGGTGAAAGCATTACACAGCAAAAAGGAGAACCAGCCGGCTATGTTTAAGCCGAAAGCTGAAGTCTGCCCCTGTAATGTGAAATTTTCACAGAGAGAATTTCCAAACTGATTATGCTTAGCACACATAAAGATGGAATGTTTTAAGATTTTTGAAAACTTCAAATTAACTTCATAAAGGCAGAAATTGACAGAAATGTAACAAAATATTCAACATATAAAATATTTGGCACAAGAAGCAAACACATTGTGAGTGGCTTAATGTCAGAGAAAAACTGCAAGTCCAGATGGATTTGTTTTAATTAAAAACAATAGCAATGTATATGCACGATCCAATTGTCTTGAGGGAAAAAAAACAGTCCTTCTCTTCTGAGGACATTTTTTATTTTGCTTTCAACATCTGAAACAAACGAGTCAGATCTGCTTGTAAAGTTTGACATCCGAGGCTCAAGCAGAAGTAAGTATTCTAGTTTTCTTTTCCCTCCTATTCTCCTCCCAGCAGACACAATTCTGAGCCTCTTACATCAACAGCCCCTTAAATAATTAACAAAGGACAATTTGAAAGTAATTATTCATCATGGGTTCTAGAATCGTATCCAATGCAACAGGATCAGGCTTAAGATATCACATCAGGCTACTCAGAAGTACAAACCTCACTATAGACAGGTGCAACCCACCAGCTGGGCAGTGTGCTTGCCTTCCTTCCTTCCTTCCTTCCTTCCTTCCTTCTTTTCTTTTCTTCCTTCCTGAACCTCTTGCTTGCTGCTGGGCTCCCATTTTTTTGTCTATATCCGAAGCCAAAAACTCTTAAAAGAAAAATATGTAAGGAAGTAGGAAAAGGGAAAGAAATGCCTAATTCTATTTCTGTCTCTCTCTCTATAGAGACCTAATAAATAAACCCCTATGCAAGGACTAGTTCCCCATTATCATTACACAGACCCTCAAATCCCTCACAGTGCCTATCTCTTAACTTGAGTTAACATTTGCACTTTTCCTAGTGAAGGAACATACAAATGGGAAAATGTTCTTTGGTTCTCCAAAAAGTGATTCAAAAGAGACAGTAGCTTATGCAATCATTCAGAGATAATTTCATTTTAAACTCATATCTGAATCATGTATGCAGCTTTGCTTTTAAGAATAAACTATAGAAGTGCTATAGTAAACTCAATGCCAACCACACAGTATGGTAAAGTCAGACACTGGTCCATGCTTACATTCTCTGCTGGTCAGATGTTAAGATTGTAGATCTTTGCAGTGACTGGGGAAATATGCAAAAACACTTCTTTCTATGAAAAATATTAAGGATGTAAATGCTCTTCAAAAACTTGACAGAGAAAAGGGAAGAACATCTGTACAGCTCTTTCATTTTTTTTAAAGGTTGACTGATGTGTTTAACCTTCAAGTCACCTTCAGGAGAAATAGAGAAAGAGTATGATATAAAGTGAAACATTGTGCTAAAAGTGGGGCTGAAGCCATAATTTTTTAAGCCATCAGCACGTTTCCTCCTCAGTAAAGTGACTTATATGTCCCTGCATTACCCAATAGGCCTAGACTGAATGACAGGCAGTCCAGGGGCCATTGAAGCTACAGAGTTAAGCTGTTCATACTGGATTCAGCCTAAGTAATTAGCCATGACTTTGTTTGCAAGCAACGCTTTCTTCTTTGTAACCACTTGGAAGCTGAACAATTTTTGAACTAGTTTAGATAGGAAGCAAAACAGGCTAATTGTGAAATTAGACATGTGTTTCCTTGTAAATGTCTCTGCAGAGTCATCTCATTGCCAAAGCCATACAGAAAACTCGCGGCTGAAGCCTGCTCGTTAACTATGTGCTTTCACTGCAGAGAGGGCTCTCCGTGAGTGTGCAGCAAGGCACAGTTGGTAGGTTTTATATAAATATATATGTACAGGTTTAGTGAAAGCAGGAAGCAATGTATGGCTCAAACATAAATACAGCATCATTAGCTTAGCATTGTCTGGATGGTATCCTGCTGATAGCCTGCCCTGCCACGCCACACTTGACAGACCCAGGGAGTTTTCCTTTATTTTTCTATAAGAAGCCAGAAAAATCTTGGTTTTACAATCTTCACTAGTTGTTCCCCCACTTTGCCAAGTGTCTCTCTTGCTCACTTTGAGCAGACCTCTTCTTTCCAGGTCTGAGCAGTAACCATCCCTCAGCAAACCAGATCACACACACCCCGGCCCACACTAGTCCCCACCTCCACCCCCAAAGCCCGCAATGCTGCAGTTTCACATTCCTGAACCAAAAGTAACTCCCTAAATGAACTCTTTTTTCTTTTAAAATACATGGACAGAGAGTTTATAAAACTTTATAAAACTAAAACCTCCAGAAGCAGCCTTTTCTGATTACTTACAGATCAATAGGAGCCCCTCACATAATGAAACAGAGATTAGAGAATACATGCTGTAAAAAGAAGCTATTTCAATCTGGAGTCTCTGCCTACAAATACTGGTAGTTTATACTGGCCCACAGCAAGCATTTTACAATGCTACTTGTGCCTGTGGGCCCCAGCTCTATCATTTGGCTGGCAGTCTGTCCTTCACTTTGTCTCACAGAACTCTAAACTTTTTTACTCTGAATTTTCCCAAAGCTCAATCTAAAATAAAGGGGCATTTTCAGTTACAAGTACAAAAAGGTCAGCAGGAAATCTCTGTGGACTATTTAGTTAAACATTTTTAAAGATATGGGAGATTTATTCCAAATCAGTCATCAAAATCTACTTGGGGAAATATATTGCATTTAAAAGGGAGGGGAAACGCCTGATCTATTCAAGGCTGGACTGAATAGGCCCGGAAACCTTTCAATTAATTTAAAACTAATTCAGTTGCTGTCAATCATCACCGTTACACACATGAGGCACCTGGACTGAAGATGCCAAGGCAATTGTTGCCATCAAGCTTATCATAAAGTCTATTTCCCTGGACTTCCGGTCTCAGACTTCAAATTCTCCTTCCCAAGGAAGATTTGACCTTCAAATTTCAGGCCTTGATCTCGTCTCTTCCTGGCATCCATCATACGTTAGAAAAGTCAAACTGGGCTTCAACCATCTATTTCCATTAACTAAGTTTAATGAATTTTGGGTGTTTTCAAAATCTGCAGTCTGTTCATTGTGCCAACTCTGCCCTGCAGAGAAGTCTTAGCGTGGGGTTTCCAGCTCGGTTTCTGGAAACAGCCACTACAAACAGGTCTAATTGTATTTACTGAGGGAAAGATGCCTGAAGGGACCCTCCTCCTGGCTCCCACAGGCAGCGAAGATAGCAGGACCTCTCGCAGCCGGCTAGGGTGCTGTCCGTGGTGCTGCCGGCGCCCTGGGCGCACAAGCGCCTTACCTTCTGCCCTGCGGAAACTGCAGACGTCCCCCAACCGTTAAGCAGTCTGGAGCGCCACATCCCACTTTTAAAACAAATCACTACCCCGGACCTGTCCGTTTTGTCCCGTTCCAGAAGGTTTCAGGCCGACTGTTCCTCAGAATCTCTCTCTCTCTCTCTCTCTCTCTCTCTCTCTCTCTCTCTCTCTCTCCTTCTCACACACACACACACACACACACACACAGAGAGATAAAAAAAATCTCCCCCCCCGCCATGTGCTTTGTCTCCCCCTCGAGAGTGTCTGAGGCTGAGATTCTCACAAAATCTCTCTCTCTCTCTCTCTCTCTCTCTCTCTCTCTCTCTCTCTCTCTTACACACTTCTCTGAGCTGCTTTAAGACTTAGTAGTGGGGGAGGGGGCGGGGCGGAGAAGATGAAGGGGGGAAGGGAAGAAGAGGGAGGGGAGAGAGTGTTGGGGGAAGGGTGGAAGGAGAAGGGGCAAGAGGAAAAAATTGCAAGAAAAAAAGTCCCAAGGGAAGGGTCTCCGAGGGATCGCCGAATGAAAAGGACTCAGAAAGCAGAGGGAAAAGTAGTTAAGCACAGAAGACTATAAGGAAAAAAGTAAGGGGGAGAGAGGCTCAGAGGTAGGGGGCCAAAGAACCCGGAGGTCAGGGGTGGGGGGAAGAACCGCCCAAACGGCCTGCCAGTGACTAGACAAAGAAAGGGCGCTGGGTGGATCCTTGCACCAAGGCTGCGAACTGCAAAGTGAAGGAGAAAAACTGAGAAAAGGGGATTTGCAGGGACGCCAAGTGGTCTGGTACCCAAGGAGAAGCTGGGGGAAGGGCCCGCGCGGGGACTGCAAAGTGCGGGGTCCGATGCGGCGTGGGCCCACGTGGAGCGTGGTCCGGGCGCTGAATCACGGCTAGGCAGTCCCCCCTTCCCCCCGGCCGGGTGCCCGCAGTCCCCGCCTCCGCGGCCGCCGCCTCCACGGGGCGGGGCGCTGGCCCGGGACCAGCTCCTCGGCTATAAAGGGGCTGCGGCGAGGCCGGCAGAACGCTGTGACAGCCACACACTCCAAGGCCTCCAAGATGAGCTACGCGCTGGACTCGCTGGGCAACCCGTCCGCCTACCGGCGGGTCACCGAGACCCGCTCCAGCTTCAGCCGCGTGAGCGGCTCCCCGTCCAGCGGCTTCCGCTCGCAGTCGTGGTCCCGCGGCTCGCCCAGTACCGTGTCCTCCTCCTACAAGCGCAGCGCGCTCGCCCCGCGCCTCGCCTACAGCTCCGCGATGCTCAGCTCGGCCGAGAGCAGCCTCGACTTCAGCCAGTCCTCGTCCCTGCTCAACGGCGGCTCCGGCGGCGACTACAAGATGTCCCGCTCCAACGAGAAGGAGCAGCTGCAGGGGCTGAACGACCGCTTCGCCGGCTACATCGAGAAAGTGCACTACTTGGAGCAGCAGAACAAGGAGATCGAGGCGGAGATCCAGGCGCTGCGGCAGAAGCAGGCCTCGCACGCCCAGCTGGGCGATGCTTATGACCAGGAGATCCGGGAGCTGCGCGCCACGCTGGAGATGGTGAACCACGAGAAGGCTCAGGTGCAGCTGGACTCGGACCACCTGGAGGAAGACATCCACCGGCTCAAGGAGCGCTTCGAGGAGGAGGCGCGGCTGCGCGACGACACCGAGGCAGCCATCCGCGCGCTGCGCAAAGACATCGAGGAGTCGTCGATGGTGAAGGTGGAGCTGGACAAGAAGGTGCAGTCGCTGCAAGACGAGGTGGCCTTCCTGCGGAGCAACCACGAAGAGGAGGTGGCAGACCTGCTGGCCCAGATCCAGGCGTCGCACATCACGGTGGAGCGCAAAGACTACCTGAAGACCGACATCTCCACGGCGCTGAAGGAGATCCGCTCCCAGCTCGAGTGCCACTCGGACCAGAACATGCACCAGGCCGAAGAGTGGTTTAAGTGCCGCTACGCCAAGCTCACCGAGGCGGCCGAGCAGAACAAGGAGGCCATCCGCTCCGCCAAGGAAGAGATCGCCGAGTACCGGCGCCAGCTGCAGTCCAAGAGCATCGAGCTCGAGTCGGTGCGCGGCACCAAGGAGTCCCTGGAGCGGCAGCTCAGCGACATCGAGGAGCGCCACCACCACGACCTCAGCAGCTACCAGGTAGGAACCGCGGCTGCGCGGCCGGCCTGCGCCAGCGCCAGCGCTGCGCGCCCCCGACACCCGAGTGCGCGCCCAGGGGCCCTCCACCGCGCTCCCTGGTGGCCGCTCGCCAGTTCGCGCGAGCGCCCCAGACCCAAAGCAACCCAGACGCAGGGTCCGTGCCCCGCCCCTCCTCACTGTCCCCACCCACCTGCCACAGCTACTTAGAAATCCTGATCTGCAAAAACGTGTTTCATTACCACATGGATCTAGTTTCGCACATTTAAAGAAGCATATTCAGATAGTTTGCAATAGTAATTGAAACAGTTACCACCGCGATCTGAAGAGCTCTCAGAACTGGCTTCAGTCCAAAGAGTTTGGTTGGGTTGGGAGGACTAAGTCCGCCAGTGAGCACCCAGGTTCCTCGGTGTTTCCACTCAGGTGAGTGTTATGCCTGGAGAAATATCTCATATTGTCTGAGTGATTTTGTTAGCTTGCTTTGAGTCCCTTAACTGTAAAAGGGCGGGGACGGGGTATTAAGAGTGATGGGAGGCGTGTAGGGCTGAAGGCAGAAGAGGAAGGGGTTGGGGGAGGGGGAGGG